AGCAGGAAATTCACAGATCATTGAGCTCAGTTTTCCTACATGTTTGAAATTAAATAAGAGCTCACACTATGAATGACCGAAACAAGCCCTGGGCTGAATTAGGTCTCTCTTGACCTAATTTCAGTATAGAAAATTATTTTTTATGTCTTACATGCATAACTTAGAATGGCTGATTAGTTAGGACATAAAAACTCATGGATGTTGATGGAGACAATGGGTAATACAAAGAGCGAACGTCTGAATTGGCCATAATCACATATTTCTTCCATGTATCACTAAAAGTATTTCTTTTGCCCTACACTAAAAAGTTGGGGTCCCCTGGGGTACCAAAAGGGAAAATCCACCTTGAGACTATGCAGGAAGCCATCTCAGTGGAATGATGACACAGGCTGCAAGAAATATAAATAACCTAAACTATGAATATCCGCATCCATCACAAACTGCATCTGACTGTACAGCATATGAGGGGTCATTTTCATCTTGGCCGGCTGCACTGTACAGTAAACGGTGCCGTGTTTAGCTCTGTGGACATATGCCGGGTGGATTATTAGAGTGCCACATACCCCTTACATGTAATGGATATCATAGATCAATGTGGGTGAATGACGGAGCAGATGCTGAATTTGTATATCCACAGACCCAGTCTTCTATTAATGGTAGCCACTGGTCTACTAAAGCCATAAGTGATCAGTAGATGGACTGGAACTTAGGCGGACCATCTGCCTGTTGAGCCCTACCGAATGCCATCAGGCTTACCGTCATGTTCCATAACTATAAATTGTTCTGGATAGATAGGGGTGGCTCTGTGAAAATGTGTGTACATTTATCAATAGATATAAAATTATTGAATGAATATGTTGAATAGTGCCAAATTTTCCTGAAACTTAGTGCAAGAACAATTGTAAACTTGGGGTCTGTGTTTGCCACTTCAAGGTTCACACAGTTTTCTATTTGCATTTGCAAAAAGAAGCAGGTGCGAAGCCAGCCCACAATGAATAGTGAAATTTACACACACAACAGCAGTTCCTGAGAGAGCACTGACTCTTTCCTGCACTGATAATAATGCTTCTTAATTCTAAAAACAGACAGAAGGCTTAGCTCTGTGCATTTTCACAGCCAAAATCCAAACCCTACAACTGTTTCCTTCTCCCACAAGATGATATCCAATATGTCCTCCAACCATAACAACAATGTACGACCCCAAATAGTTGAACTGGCATGTGGTGGACCTTTGTCGTCATGGAAACAACCATAAATACAATTATGGTTATGGAACCCTCATGGTTTGGTGTGGTTTAGGCACAAACATTACTGGATTATGTTTAGGAAGACATTGTGGTTGGGTTAGAATAACGACTTTCTTAAGGATTCATGGATAAAAAACAGGAATAGAACAGCTTAGTCTCCTGTGTTTTCTGACCTACTCAATCAGTCCAAACTCCTCCTAACATGGACTCTGTTGCTCATCACCTACATCACCTAATCTCCTGTTTTGCTTATGTCATCATTACTATGGCCACTTGTGGTTGCCTAACTGTAACGCAAAATTGTCATAATAAGCTGTGGTCACAAATGATCTGTGGAGTCTAATGTCTAAAACAGGCACACGCCTTCATTCTTCCATTTTTTAATTAGTGATGTCAACCCTGTTTTCCTCCTTGGTTTTCACAGTAAACAATTGGCACTCATTACTGTAATTACTGAAAACCGTAGCAATACTGGCCATCCTCAGTGTGGCAGAGAAACGAGTCTCCACTTGCCTGCTGCTCTGAAAAACAGCTTAAAAATGTAAATGAAGGATTATTGAAATGGCCACATTCTCAGACAGAGGCAGCTCTGTGAGCATCAGCACATGCCAGGCACAAGACACAGCCAGGGCCTCTTCTACGTAGAAAAGAAAGGCAAAAAAAAAAACCTACACAGAGAGGACAGAGGACACAAAGGAATTAAAAAACAGAGATACCAGACAGATACGGCCACCAATTGACAGTTTGACATGGCCCCAGGACTGCAGAAACCTGTGCAATAGCAGAGGAGGAGAGCCCTGGGGTGTTCACTGTATGGTAAATGAAATGTTAAGACACATTTAAAGAGTGCAGTGATTTATTGGGTCAGCTCCACTGAGGTATGCTATGCTACATTCCCGACACACCTCTATCACTGACAGAGAGATTAGCAGAGGGCTCTTTCTTGGGGATATGCTTCTCTCTAAGGAAGATAACGCTGGTTAAAACTCAAGCCGTGAGCGCTGCGTCCATGCCAATGGTGATTTTAAAGGGAAGGAGGAGCTCTTTGTTCCAGGTGCTCAGAAACTGGAGAGGAATTGAGAAACAAGAATGGGGCAGAGCAATAAAGAGAAACTCATGACGGCTCTTTGGAACTGAGAAACTTGTTGGGATAGAGTGTGAAAGAAAGAAAGAAAGAAAGGCAGATGTAGAGTGGTAAAGACTGTGACATGCTTGGCATTCATGCTGGCGTTTCTACCGAAAAGCTGCTCCTGGGTGGTGTCTCTTCTGCCAGAGGGGACAGAAAGCAATAAGAAAACAGTTGAGAGTGACATTCACTCTTCCTCAGTCTGCACAGCGCAGCACCATGCACGTTGCTGAGGTGGGGAAGAAGAAAAGCTGCTGGGGGGAGGTCGATCGACAAATCTCACCCTCCATCACTACTCTCGCCGGCTGATGGTCCACGGGAAGAAAGATAGGGAGGTGACTGGCCCACACTGGTGGGGCTAAATAGTCCAGTTCTTCTTCTTTTGATACAAAAAATGGGTTAGAAGTAGAGGGAGTGGAAAGGATAGGGACATTGAGGCATTGATTGGGATAATATAGTAAAGGGTGAAGAACAAGTAAGAAGGAGAGAGAGAGGGCGGGGGGGGGGATATAGTGAGAATAAGAAGCACCAACCACTGAATTAGGACACCTCTGACCACACCACATTCCTGGAAAGTAAAGAGGAACATTATGCAGCAAAGAGGATTACACTTGTGGGAATCACACATGAGCTGAGTATCAGAAACAATTCAAGAGCACATGGGAGAAACAGTGAAAGTGTGTTTGCTTTCTTCTCTTCTGCATTCCTTCTTTGTCATGAGGGTGAAATGGGATCTGAGAAAATTACAGTATCTCGCGGATTCAGAGGATCCCTTCTCAATTTGTATCTGGAGGTTCAAAGGTAGGCAGAGGTTACTATTTAAAGAGAGAAATCACTGACTGACTACAGCCACTCCCCTCTGTGTCTACCCATTATCCATGCAGCAGCCTTTCCTCTGGCAGTGAGCTAACAGCACCTATTGTTAAGTGACAGGCAGACGATACAGCTGCGTCTGGCTGTTTTGCACGCTTCAAGTCATTCAAGTGTTTCCTTTTTGAGGGGTAGAGCTGCAGTAATTTAAACTGAACTGAGAAGTTACGCAAGCCTACTTTATTCTTGCCAGGACTGAAACACTTGTTGTAGCCAAATAGGCCAGTCTGATGGGTTTGCATTTGTAGTGAGAGGGTTTCATAGCTAAGTGCAAAAACTCAGTGACTCATCTCACCAGTGCAGCCTGAGCCAGGAGCTGTTTGCCCACCTTTGTAATAATACAAAAGCATTTGAAAGGTGTTTTGAATACTGCCAGTTTATATTTACATGCTGATGATTGTACATTGTTTGGACAAAAGCTAAACTTGAACTATATCAGATGAAAGTGGAAAATGGAGCAGCTTTACTGGAACCTAGAACTATCAGAGAAAAACTGACTATTATGTTTACGGGATTTGATAAATGTTGGTGGAATGGCACAAAGTGCATCATGCTGAATAAAAAAAACAAAAAAAAAACCAAACACTTAAAACAGATTGTGTTGTGCAGCTCTTGTTACTAAACTGAAATCTCCAGCTGCTGAATGAAAGGTAAGTTTAACAGCCAGTGTTTTGATGTTGACTTGTTGATTTAAATTGGCATATTTTTCAAGATAACACCAAACATTCTCAAAAAAAAATGAGGCGGGTGATGCTATTGATCTGTTCTCTATTGATCTGTTCTCAACAGTTTGAGATTTGAATGCTCCCTCTCTGGTCCCTCTCCATGCAGCATCTTCCTCCTCCAGTCTATTCATTGGCTTGAGTGCTAGAATACTGTCCTGAAACCAAGCATGCAGTACGTGGAGATAATAAAGAAGAGTAGCAGCACCACTGCAGTGTTTTGTTTTTATATTATATTGCATCTTAATAGACATTAATTAAACCCTGCTTACTCATCTTTAAAGTATGACTTAAGAGTTTGTGAGGGAAAGTTATGAGTTAGTTGTATATACTGCAGAAGTCAAAGTCAAATATTACTTAATGCCCCTTTAATGACCTTGTTATAAAACAGAACATAGATAAAATAAATACTATTTGGAGTAATTTGACAATAATTGAAGGAAAATACACAGTATGATGGTGTGCGTGCCACAGTTTAAGTGCTTGTAGCTGTTCAGACAGTTACGAAGACAAACCAACAACTTTAAATTATCTGTCTGCACCTTAGTTAAATTCAGCAGAAGTAGTGGAAGTACTCGTGCAACTTTCCGAAACTGTGATGTGGCTTTGCCAAGATAAAACAGCGAATGATCCAGACATTAGCTAATATTCTAAAAACAGATAAAGAAATAAACTGTACAGTTACTTCAGCCCGGTAGATGATCAGACTTGAATTGGTACTAATTATACAGCTGGCTGACAGACAAGGGGGAAAAAGAAGAAAGCGCTATCCGGAGGTGCTGCAGCTGTATTGCTTCTGATGTCTGAGATGTTATTCCTCCAGCAAAATCTTTTAATTGCATCTTTACAGCAGGTCAGCTACACCTAATTAAATCCACCTGCATGGAATAGTCATCTCATTAAAATGACTGGATCAGCAGGGGGGTGTGCTGTCAAATTGTTAAACAGATTATCCCTATGATGAGTTTATTTGTGCTGTCGTCACCATGCTGTGTGACAGGTTCTCATCAGCGCCAAAAGCAAAGCGTCGTCTTCCTTCAAAATGATTCTCAAAGTAGTGGTTATTGTTCCTGACAGCCCATTAATGTACAGCAATGATGAAAACAATCAGATTCATTAATCATACAACTTTCAGGTCATGATATCTTCTGTAGAGGAAAAGAGATAAAAGTGAAGTAAACACAAAAGGTGAAATTATTTGTCAGGTGGAAAGAGCTGGCGTTAAAACAGACATGTAGTCCTTGAAGAATAAATCTCTCATAACAGTGGGAGCTCAACAGAGGAAATATGGCTTTAATTCTGTGAGCGATTAAATCAATACAGTATCTGCTGTGCTTGTATTGAGTGCAAACACTCTTGATTCCCCCGGGGGTTTTTTTTTGCAGCATATAATTGGTGTTCCTTAGGTGCTTAACACCTAACACTTTAGTCAGAGTGCCTCTGGGTCGAGCATCTGTCCATAACTCCCACTTAGTGTAAAGGAATGTGTGTCCATTAGTGCGTGCATGCAAAATGTCTCTTTGCACGTAAAGGTTTTCAGTGAATGAGTCACTGCTCATTATCACTCATCTTCTTTGAGAACATTATAACACACGGTGCAAATTTACTGATCATAAATTGCTTTAAAAGCTACACTGTAAAACATTTTAAACTGGCTATATTTAAAGCAAGTTTCCATCATGTCTGATTTCTTCAAACTAAAAACAGGTCTCTGAAGATATTTGACTGTTTCAAAGTAGTAAAATAAAAAAAAACCTAGGTTTTAAAAGTGTCATAAACTTAAAATGAAAAACATTTGTTTGATATTTTCCAGTGTCTCATGGTGTTTAATTGACCTTTAGCAGCATCGAGGTCAGGGAAGCAGCTCTGAACTACTTATTTCACTCCTCAAGATAAATGTCGGGCCACAGAGGTAGGAGATATTGGGATGCTTCGAAAAATTGGCCACCTGGCAAATCAATAGCACACAACAAATCAATGTTTAACTGAGACTGCATTTAAACGAGAAAATTGAATCTATGGCTTCTGATTAATTAAACTAGTTTCCATAGAATGCACCGGCTCAAAAACAGAACTCACCGTTATCTTTAGCTAAATAGGCTGAAAGGGCAAGTCAGCCACTCAAAGCTGAGTAAAATGGTACGCTCTGTAAAATGTCTAGAGCTGACTGAACAAATGGGGGTTCAGTGGACACTTAAAAGCACAGTTTCATCTTTAAAGGTCTTAGACTTGTCAGATAAGTCTGCCTCAGTGGTTGGCAGCAAAGTCTATTGTAGCCAGGGTGGGGCATGGATCCTTTCTCCTATCTCCTTTGTCAAAGATTAAGACAAAGTAGCGCGTCTGGCTCGGCAGACAGGAGCCAACTATAGCCCCCAAATGCAGGATGAGTCATTTGGAACATTCCGGAAAGGATTTCAACATCCCTCCCCACCCCCCACCCCCTTCTCCTCCCATGTTTTTAATTGCACACTACCCTATTTCTGTCTTAGGGCGTGAATTCCTAAAGTATTTTGAAGCTGCTCGGATGCACATCAACTAACTGGGGAACTTTTAACACTTTCCAACATGTCCAATCTGTCAGTGAAGGAAACACATAAAAATCCAAGCAATCACACATAAACACACTTTGCACTCAGCTGGGCCAAGTTATCTCAGGTCAGTAATTGAGATGTTATCTTCAAAGGAGAAGCTGCACCCCCAGGATCTTTCAACATGGCCTCACCGCTCATTTCCATTGGATCTGAATCAGCTTTCTCTCCACCTCCTCCCACTGGGATTAAAGCATTTCACTACTGTTGGCTGGTGGCAAACCAGCTTCCACATGATCAGTAAGTGTGCAGCTTTAACATGATGGTGTTGTGCCCTGAAGATCTGACCACAATAAGCAGAGGTGGCCCTGCTAATGCTTTGGGTTGTTCACTTAGTTTTCATGTGAAAAATGTGCACATCAGCAGGCTTGTATGTTGCTTGGGGGTGCAACTTTTGAGTCATATGCTCAGGAGGGCCACATATAACAACTCTCCTTCTTTCTGGGTCGTGTATGTTTCAATTTCAGTGCATTATTGCAAATAAAACAGTCACTTGAACGGTAAGGTAGCAGCTGTGTGATCACTGTGTCTGCAGGTTCCAGGGGAGAGCTCACCTTGATTGCAGGTCTTGCCAGTGAAGCCAGGATGGCACTTGCACTTATTAGGTCCCACACAGTCTCCGTGCTTACAGCCAGGCTGGCATACAGCTGTTCATGGAGGATTCAAAGAGCGAGAGACAGATCATTGCAGCACCCTGGCAGCCTTCTTGTACTGTACCTGATCTGACAAAGAATTTAATCCTACTGCTAGACTTCCACAACCCCTTGGCTGTAAATTATCTGTTTACTCTACATTACTGCAATAAGACAGCATGATACCTCATTCATATAGAAAATGTGTTTGGTTAATATTTACACCTGCATACAGCCAAGAAGGACTAGAGGCAAATAACATTTCTCCTTTAGAATAAAAATGAAACAAATCAGAGTACCAGAATAGTAAGTCATAATTTGTGCCTCTGTAAAGAGGTGTCCTGCAGATCGTACAGTACATAATGTGCAGATGGTGAGGTTTTGAGTGTGTATGGAGACGTGGTAGTTGCGGGGGCTGTACTACAGCTTCATTCGTGCTCTATGTTCGGTCTCACTGAGCTGGAGAGTTGCCCTGCTTATGTGAATGTGCCGCAGCTTGCTGCTAAGCATGTCTGATGCATGGGGCCTCAGCCAAGTGTTACTAATTTTCATTAAAAGCTTCATTAATTCAGTCACAGTACAGTGCAATCAGAGATCTAAATTATCACAGTGGTGGAAACAGGCTGAACATATTCTACATATATATGTGTGTGGTGTGTTTGAGAGAGACAGAGCTTCTGGTGGAAGATGCTTTTTGTTGTGTCTGGAAAGGTATGATGGTGCTCTAAGGTTTATTTGTGGTGATACAGCTGTAGATGTTAATCATAATTTCTGCTAAGCAGGATAGTTTTTATTTCTCATGTTTGTTAGTATGACTATCATAAGCATACAAATGACTTCACTTGAGTTAAATTTGGTGGAACACATTACCAAATGCTGAGACCAAACTAGTACCGTATTGGTGTTATTTCCCATGCTAGTGAGAAAACGAAAAATTATCCAGGATAATCTTAATATTTGCAGGGTAAAACAGCAGAACAAAAGCTGTTTATATTATAAAGTCATTTACTAGCGATCCAATTTTCACATGTAGTATTTGACTAACATGCATAGCCAGATGAGAGTGCCCTGCACTGCGGCAAGAATTAAAATATCCAGTAGTTAAATGCTTTTTGCCACATGACCCTGCATGTATTTGCCAGGGCTGTCTGCACTGGGACATCTGCTGTGCCAGTGAGGATGCTTGCATTTTGATGGAATTGGATATGCTTGCCTTGAAATGTGCAGCCCTGGGAGAGATATTCGCTCTCTAAGTGTTTTCTGTTTTTAGTGCTTCTATAAATTCTTGAAATAAAGTGAAATCTGCTTTAACATGTACTGAGGGTCACATAATAGAACTGAATAAGAAAAGGGAGAATATTACTTTTTTATATTTGAAATGCACATGTTGAGAATTGAGTTACAATCTGTGAAATTTCACTTTCTTACACATTCAGCTTGCAGAGCATCAGGACTATCCAGGAAAAATAACTCCTCAGGTTTCAGTCTGTAACATTTTCATGCTGAATTAAAAAGCACAAAGGTATGAGATTAATTCTGTAGCCACAGTCGATAACAGCTCCAGCCTCAGTCAACTTTGCCAAATAGAAAGTAAGCATTGCTAACCTTCCTGGAGAGGCTTGTGCTATGAGCCAAGGTGTTAACTGTGAAAGTTCACAACTACAAATTGAAAATGGCCTAATTTGTTGAAGAAAAGCAAAAGAGTTGTATTTTTCTGGAAGCAGAAGTTTATAAGACCTCGGACTGATCAGAACCTGAAATAAACAAAGCTTCTGATGTTGTTAAGTCAGAGGGTTTTCAGGTGGAGCGCTTTTTGTTTTCATTAGTGAGATCAGAGGCAGCCATCAACAGGCTTCATCTCTGATGGTAATTTAAGCCTCTGGCTCGACAGACAGATCATGGAAATGGCCAGTGTTCATTAACGGCAGCAAAGGACTAAAAATGGCCGTGGCAGCTGGAAGGCCAAACATAGCGTGGATGACCCGCGTTCCATCGACACCATGAAAACAAGTCGAGTGATGACACACTTTTACTCTGGTTTACATCAGCCATTCCTCTGGACACCAGAAGGCTTTTACTGATGCAGATTCACTTGATTTATTGTTTGATCTATTTGTGGATGTCTGATTATAAACACAAAGAAAAGCATTCTATTTTAAATTAATACTAATACCGTATGAATTTTAAGTTGGTCTAATGCATTACTTCAAAGATGGGAACATGATTCCAAATTACTGAGCTGTATCATCTTGCAATCAATGAAGTAATCACCTGAGGCTGCTTTTAAGGATCATTTCACCAGCGGTTCATTTGCTTTTTTTTTTTTTTTTTTTATTTATTTTTTTATTGTTTTGCCTTTTAAAAGGTGAAAAAAAAAAACTGAAATGGCAAACATGTTACTTATTTGTCAGATCAACAGTTCCAAACCCAAAAATATCTAGTTTACAATTATATAAAACAGAAAAAAGCATAAAATCTTAACATTTCAGAACCAGGGAACTTCTTCTGACATCTGATGAATGCAATGATCAGCCATAACATTATGGCCACTGACAGGTGAATACAACTTTAGGTTGATTGGCAACTCTAAATTGCCCATAGGAGTGAGTGTGTGTGTGTGGGGGGTTGTCTGTATCTATGTGTCAGCCCGGTAATAGACTGGCAACCTGTCTAGGGTGTACCCCGCCTTTCGCCCAGTGTCAGCTGGGATTGGCTCCAGCCCCCCGGGACCCTATTCAGGATAAGAGGATGGACATCTCATTACAATGGCACCTGTCAGTGTGTGGGGTATATTAAGATCTGAGTGACTTTGGCAAGAGCCAAACTGGCTAGATGATGGGGTCAGTGCATCTCCCAGACTCCAGGTCTTGGTGGGTGTTCCCAGTCTGCAGTGATTAGTACAACTACAACAGTGGTCTAAGGAAGGACAGACAGTAAGCTGGTGACAGGGTCATGGATGCTCAAGAAGGCTCACTGATGATGAGGGTGACCTAAACTTTAAAATTTCATTCATCCTTTTCAAAAGATTAAATTTTCTTTGAATCATTGTTAAAATGGGTGAAAGTGAGAAATATTGTACATTGGTCTCTATGAAGAGAAAGAGTCAGACCTGGACTGGGAAGGCTGTTGAATTTGTCCTCACTTCGTTCCTTTTACATAAGTTTTTTATTGAACGGTACATGTATCTGTGCTCATCCTGACAGTAAAACTATGGAAGCAAACGAATGCATAGAAGATGCACAGTGAGCTGCAGAGTGACACGAACCAACCAGCTGCCACTGATTAGGCAGGTGGTCATAATGTTATGGCTGTAATCAATTGTCAAAACTGCTTAGATGATTAACTTATCAGTTAATCTACATGCATACTGACTACAGACCATCAGGTTTTTGAACCAGTTTTATTTTGCTGGTGTTATACTGTGAAAATGTCACAGATCCACCAGGTAATGTCATGGTAAATATTATATTCACCTACAGTAAGTGATGAAGTGTGACTCTTAACCTGACTAGAACAATCCCAGAGTCCATACGTATGCACAGCATCACCAACCACAGCAAATCTCCATTTTAACTCTCCACCACAGATAGATATATTACTGATTATCAATTCAAAAACATTATCAATTTCAGCTTTAAAAGTTTCATTAGTATTCCATGAAGTCAACTGGGGGGGCAGATGAATATCAATAAGAATTCCAGCATAATTCATGTTAGACATGGCTTCAGGTGAAATCAGGTCTGCACAGTGTAAGCTATTTGCATAGATCTGAGGCTGGAGAGGAAGATGATGGACGCTGCCAAGGGATGTGAGTTGTTAGCAGTGTTTGGGGGTGTGGTGGGGGTTGAGAGGCCCTGGCTCTATAAATAAGTGAGTGAGCCCAGGATTCAGAGGATGTGCCCCCAAGATTATTTCAAGAAACATGTGGAGCTAACCTTGGGGCTGGCACTTTATCCCGACTACTCTGTGAGTTAAGGCGAAGGGAGCTGCAAAACAAACAGCCAAACAAAGGTTGCAGACATTGCTTAGTCTTTAAGAGTGAAAAATAAATAAATAAATACACATTATGTTGGAAAGCAGAGTCTGGTCACAAGCAAACATTCCTAAAAACACATGGTCTGGAGTCACACATATTCCCAGTTGCCTCTAGGGACGATATACACTATATTTTGAATGCATTTACAATTAAGTTTTAATATTTAAAATAATGGCAGACTAAAACTACTGTCTTTGGTAAGATGCTCTTATTTCTGAAAATGTTATATTCCTTATTACTCGTCTAAATGGGAGTGAATGAAGCAGTTTTCCCTCACACACTGTGAAACAGTAAAATCTTAATTCCCAGTACATGAAAATACCACCAGTTAGGGGTATGCGACATGTATCATCTACAATATCTTAATCGCTGTTCAAATGATGTGTGAGCTGACATTATCGGGTTTGTCATGTCACCCACTTTACAAAAACACGCCTTGAGAGTGCACACACTCACTACCTCATGAAGCCAAGTAGGACAGAGCTGCATGTGCACATTCAGAGTGCACACAGTGTGGACATGATCATGCCTAGCTGTCTTAAAATGCATTAGCAAAGTTAAAAATGAGTGAACAACCAGCACCAGGAAACAAAATACAGAGATTGCAAGTTGTGGAGCATCCTCAATCACATTCAGGTATTTTGGCTTTCAAAAAGTGGATGTTGCTCAAAAGACAGGCTAAAGAAAAAATTATGCTGAAGATCAGTTTCTGTAAAGACAACTTGACAGCTTGTTTTACCATCTGCAAACCTAACCACCGCACAGAATATGAAAGGCTTCGGGAGTCAGCTGTCGACGACAGGACAAAACCAACCACCGTGACCTACACAAACACACTTAACAAGAGCGACCTTGTACAATATAAGACTTAAATACATTTGAAGGATGCAGAATGCATTTATCGTTATTGCCAAAAATCATAATGTCCAAATGTCATTTTCTGTCAATATCACACACCCCTACTACTAGTACAGTATAATTCAGTGAGCTCATGGTCCTGGTTTCTTCAGTAGAAAATAAATGCTGCAGCTACCTGGCTGTGAACAGATTGCTTTCCTCAAGGTACCAAAGCAGCATGTGTCCAGTAATTCTGTGCCTTTTCTCCTAATTGCTATACCCCTTCCGTTTAGTTTTTACCTTTTTATTTCAAGCTGATGAAAAAGTGGACTTTTAGATGGGCCTTTACAGCCCAGTGATCATGAAAAAAAAGTAAGGCGGTCAAGAAAAGCACAGACAATCACGATAAAGTGAATGACTTAAACCGGGGTATCACATTTCTGCTTTCATCACTCACTTGTTAGCTCACATTACCAATTCAGGAGTCCTGCCGTAATCCTGTCCTCGGCATTTGCGGAAACAAAGGCTGCACTCAGTCAAACTGAATTCTATTCTTAGCGGATTTCTAAACTCCACCAGGACCTCTGAGGAAATTATAAAGTGTGATTTAATTTGTGTGTGATATTCGACCCAGTCCCTTTACAATGCAGAAAAAAGAAAAAAAAATGAATGCACATCTCTCTGCCAGAACTGTTTTTATCTCTTTTGGGAAAACTAAAGTCAATCGAAACAAGCCTCAAGTCCTTTGGGGTACAGTAAAAGATACAAAAAACAATCATTAATTGCAGGGCAGTGACCAGGCACAGACTCCTGCCTCCTGCACGAAAGGCACAGGCACTGAAATCACCATCCCAACTTTCACACCTTAACGCTGTACCTCAGGTGCGTTACTGGCTGTTGTGACACAAAAAATTGGCAGTGGTCATAAGTGTGAAGTGCTAAACTATCCAATATCGACTTAATTCAGATGAATACTTGGCTGTGTTATTTAGTTAGTTCCTAAACTTGTCTTATGAATCTCTTGTCTTGATTTTTGAAGCACATGCCCAAACAATTTAGCTTACCAAAAGCTCCAGTATGGATGAAATTAGCTTCAAACTGAAGACGGTCTCTTTACAGCCTCAGTGATCTTGCACCACCTGACATCAAATGCAATAGATACTCAAAGCTCCTGCTATGAATGACAAAGTGGACCACTGGATATCAAGACTAGTGGGATCAACCTGTTGATTAGACATAATCAAGACTGGAAGGAATACAAAGCATTTTAGTATGATGAAAGGAAACTGCAAATGCACTTAGAAATGCAAATGCTGAACAAATGCTCACAGTGGCAGTAAAATGTTCATGATGGCAGCTGGTTAGAATAAGCAGCTTCAAGCGTGGCTCTGCCTGCCGGATGGCCTGTCAGGACATTATAAATGGAGCTTCAGTCTACTATAAATCTAAAGCCTCTCTCTCCATCTGCCCGATTTTCTCACTTGTTTCCCCCTTTGTGACGTTTCTGCCCTACTCCGGCAGCAATCATCTCTGGATTCTTAAATCTAAGGATTTCTACTTTCTTCACCTCTTAGTCCTTTCTCTGCACACTTTCTTGCTCTTTCAGTTATGAGACCTTTATAAAAAAAAATAAAAAAAAACCCCAAGGTCGATCCATTTTTCACTCTGAGTGAAGTCACACAAACCAACTGTTGAGCTCCAAGGCTGAGAAAACCACAGTCTGATAGCTCCAATCTAATCTTTTCCATCGCCACAAAAATATAACAAGACCTGAAATCTGTGATGGCTGCATCCTCACACACATGCAGAAGTACACACGTACATACCCATGATTACACTCCCTTTCTTTCCCAAACCTTCCCGCTCCCTGCTCTAAGCTTTAAATCAGCACCTACTGACTTGATGGAATACTGATTGTGCTCTCAAAAAAAAAAGGATTTGAGCTGTGCACCCAGTTAGGTGTATTTAGAAGCAAGCACTCACTTCTTCACTTCTCTTAGTGATTTAGCTAACAGAACTGTTTTTAGGTTTCTAAAGTGGTGGAATAAAAGCTATAGCTCAATGTGGTGGTTAAACTCAAAATTAGCAGATACCTTTGGCTCAACCTGGAACATGTGGAACTCCAGAACAACAATAAGAACATGTACACACACTGCAGGTTGAATGGTTGGGTAGTTGCTGCAAACATCATTTCTTTAATGTGGCTGTGGCATAATTTATTACTGCATAAACCACACCTATGATATATTATTGCTCTTCATTTCTAGAGGCAAAATAATAATAGTTTTGTTGTGTGGAACTATAACTAGGCTACAGTGTGCTGTGGCAATTTGCATTAATGCTTGGGTTTTACTCAGTGAAATATAAGCACATGAATCACATCTTTCCCACTAATCTAAGCATCTCTGATAATAGCAATCTTCATCTATTTCATCAGTGTCCAAAAGCCAAATTTATTACACCTTGAGAATTCTGATCATGGGAAGCTGTCAAGGCAGAGAGCCCAGTACAGATGCACTGGGAGGTACTGGGCATTGAGATGACCGACTCCTGCCAGGATTACTGTTGAGTCTGGCCCCGTGTTCACACAAACAGTATCAAATGATACAGTTGAGCTGTCTGAGTAAAACAGCGGTTCTTTTGCTTAAATCATTGCAGTGCAAATTGTGTAGTTCAAGTGTCAAGGCCTTGTGAAAAGCTAAGTGTACTGCCAAAAATCCCTCTAATTTCTAGCCATGAAATCAAACCCCCTCAAGCTATGAGTGTAGGTCTGTCTCATAAACCATTAGCATAACTTATTTTTCTGAATCCCAGTGTTTGTGTAAGAATAAAATTATCATGATTTGTTTCCAGTAGAAATGAAGCAAGAAGTGTATGAACAGATTTGTCCTGCAAAGACCGGAGAGGTTAATCTGGCTGTGCTAAAAGGAATACTGAACACTGGGCCTGCTAACTCAAGTAATGCTGTTTGTATTCTCCAGTACAAAATAAGAACTTGTGCAATACACTTCAACATCAAGTGACGAGATGGCGCTCTGCCACAGAGTGAAAAGTAGCAGCTGAGCCCAGAAAATATTTTAGATGCAGCAGTACAGACCTTTGGACCCAACAAACAGTGTGTGACATTTTCCCCACAAGAAATACACAACATACAGTGGGTTAAACAAAGGTTCAGCTATAGCATGGCAGAATGAGCTTCAACACATAAAAACAAATTTACAAAATGGGCATTTCAGCAATAAAAAACACACATGAATTAATAAACATCATTGAGGAGCTATTGTATAATCTGTGGCCACAACCGACATGCAGAATCATGAACCTTTTCACTGTAGGAACTTAGCAACCTGGAACCTGGAGCTTCCAATAACATAAACATTTGACAACCTGTATGGTGCCAAGCTTTGTGTTTCCACTGTGTTTTACAAACAGAGGTTTTGGGTCACTGAAGGAAATTCTGCTTTGGACTTCTATATCATTAGAAAGGTGACAGTACAGTAGGTGAATGCAGTTGTACAGTATAGGTCAGAGGAAATAAAACAATCATGTTCAACACTGCCAAGAAAAGGTATGAAGGACAAACTGTACAAAGTTTGCACCTTGTTGGTTTCATTCACACTGTCCATTGTTATTACGGTTTAAAAGGATGGGTCCCTGTGGTTTCCAGCTTCACTCCACCTAACTACAGCTAATCTAAAAAATGGACAAAGAAGTGGAGTGTAAGTGGAGCACACTAGACAGCTAACAGCAAGCCACCACTGGTGGGACCCTCCCCCCCCAATCACTCAAAGCATATACACCATTAATTATGCGTAATCTTCAGTTTCAATATTATTTAAACAGGCAAGTTACATAAAAATTCACCTTCTGTACAGTTCTCATGAAAGGAGAAATTAGCTATAGAGACCAAAATCATTTTTGTACCAGGCAGTAAAATTGTCATGTGTCGAGGCATTTCCAGTACTCTCCTAAAAGTCTGTAGACCTTGGATACAGTATGACCCCCCTATCGGCACAAACATTTGGTTTTGGGAACAGTGGAAACAGAAGCACAACTACTAGTTCGACATTTTACATATGCTACCGTGCTAAGAGATGAGAAGGCTGATACCACTCACACATATCTCTACACAAAACATGAAGCCAAGGCCACTGACAGAATAAATTAGCTTAAGGCCCCAGGAAAGGCACTGGATACCGAGTTGACTTTGAGATAGTGCCAACACTGTAGGGCTTATTCTGGTAGCACCACAGGACACACACTGGCCTGCATAATAACTGGAAAGAATGATTACTAGACACTGAATAAATTTTTCTGAGCATCACAAAATCCTCAGAATGACCATTTGTATTAGCAGAGTTTAATCTATGTAGCCCAGCAACATTAGGAAAGCCCAGAAGAGCTGCATGGTTAAATTATTTAATAATATATTTAATATATGGTATGAAAGTCTCGGATGTGCTGTCAACTGGTTTGGCTAAAGAAAGACTCCAGTGCTTATGCTCTACGTTCCCAAAAACATGGTAGCGTGAGGAAGCCCGCTGAGGATTTTTTGATGTATGTGGCAGCAACGTGGTATCCAGCTCACCTTAATAAGTTGCAGAGGAAACATCTTGTTGGGCTCTATCCATAAATCTGCCCAGCAAACCCCTTTAAGGCTCATTAATCACACCTTATATCTTGTTTGTTTAATTTGTAGCTCAGTGTGAGCTTTAAATATTTAGGCCAGAGCCAGGCTAACTGTTTTCCCTTGTTTATAGTTTTTATGCTAATCAGCGGCTGGCCGGCTTCATATTCAACAAAGAGACTTGAGAGTAGAATCAATTTTCTCTGTTAACTCTTGGCAAGGAAGCAAACATTTCTCTCACCGTCGAACTAACTTCAAGCCCCAGGTTGTTGAGTTCCATTATGTGTGTGCTACCCCCTCGACGGTAAAACCTCCACACCCAAAGCAGCGGCTATACCATTGTAGGCACCAAGCCATGCAGAGTCTATGGCATTTGTGAGGCAGCTGGCCAGATTCAAAACCCATGTTAGTATATTCACACCTACTTGGGTAGCATTACAGGAGAGCTGTAAATCTTTACACAAGATAAATATGTTGAAAATGTAACATGTCCATATGTCATATAGTTCATCTAACACAGGCGTGTGTTGCTATGATACAATAAGAAGCAATGACAGGACACATCCTCTGAATCCTCTCAGTGGCATTGCTGAATATATCAGTGTGTTGAGTTATGCACACTTGACAACACTGTGGACTGCGGCCACATCACTGCTCCCCTTTCTCTTGTTCTAGCAGTATTAGCCATCTATATAATCAGTCTTGTATCTACCCTTGAATGTGTCGACCTGCAGCTATGGCCTCTCCCTCATTATGACCACCTACAGATAGAATGTAAATGTCAGTGAGTCCTCTGGACCAACCAGTACCATCAATCTTTACTCAAAGATTGTCCCGGGTGCGATGTTCCATTAGCTGCATGCGTTTCTGTTGTGATAACATGCGTGCGTTTCCCCAAGACTTCAGTGTTACAGTGTCTCCTCTGTCTAATAGCATCTTTGACCCCAGCTTGAAACCCTGCAAACATGTTAGCCCTGTTCACCCCCGGCAGCATCAGCAGGCACCATGGCACTCACGCTGGCATTGACCCCAGGAGCGGCGTGTCCACCCCCAGCAGCAGTCCACCCTGGCCCCGTAGCGACACAGGCCGTTGGATGAGGCCATCTGCCGTGGCCACCTGTGTGGGGATGACATAATTAGTTCACAGCCAATTAAAATGTCTTAATGTAAAGCAGGGGCCTTCTCAATGTTGATTGGAGGAACGCTTCAAAGCTTTCACTTTATTTATTTCATTTTCCTGCTGCAGAGCAAATTGCCAAGTGTCAAGTGTTCACATGGAATCACCTCTCTTGCATTAATAAAAGTGGTTTCTGGTTTTTCTATTAAAAAGGTCTTGTGTGAGGTTTTTCTTTTGCGAATTAAAAATTTATGGATAGAGGGGATTATACAGTATGCTGTGCAGATTGTGAAACCCGTTGAGGCAAATGTGTGATTTATGATAGTAGGCTATAAAACTGACCGGACTTGACTACTTTGTGTCAATGTTTTTAAGCATTTAATAGCTCTTTAATGGCACTGAGGGGCCTAAAGTCTGTCACAGATACACAGCACCTGAGTTAAAAACATGAGAGCAGTGATATTTGTGCTAATAAATATTAAAAAAGAGTGAAATATACAGTTCTCTACATCATAAGGTGACATTTTTCTATCCTATTTTCTGACTAACACTATTGCTATCTTTCATGACAAATAACAGCTGCAACTGGTCCCATTTGGAAAAGCAGAGCCAGGAAATGTTTGCTATTTATGCTTGGAAAATGAATACAATGTGACATTAATTTTCAAAATAGTTGCTGATTGACTAATTGCTTCAGTTTCTTATAAAAATAAGCATTTATAAAACATAAAACTCACTACATTTTCTCAGGGTGTTGAAGGCTGACTTTTCATTGCTTCCCTGTGGTGAAGGATGCTGGAATTAAAACTGATAGAACATCAGATTGTGTTGGTTTGTGAGATGTCAGATTGGAGACCCATGTTGAAAGTCTGCCAGACCCGATTTGAAGTCTTTAGTGTGCATCCGTGCACCACTGACGCTCAAATCTGAGACCACACGTCGGTTGTGTTCATTATAAAGCTTGTGAAACAGCCATGCACTGTGTTTTCTATCTCCACTTATTTCATAAACACATATCAAAGTCTGTGCTGCTGTACCATGTGTTTGAGAAGCCTATCAGACAATTTCATAACATTAGAAGATGTTATCACCCCTGCCACTGAGAGAACAGGCAAGTATTCATTTTTAAACATTTCCTAAGAACTACAAGTCCACTAAGAGGAATTATGGCCCGGATGTTTTTATTACACCATGTTCTATTCTGCTCAAAGGAAGAAATAGCTTCTTGGCAGACAGTACATGTGGATTACCTTTTTATCTGTACCAAGGCTCACAACATATTTATGGAGAGAACAGGGCAAAAGAATGAGTCCATATAAGGACACTGATGAAAATCCAAGCTACATAACCTTTGAGAACCTGGCTTTCAGGTGTTACCTAAATCTAGCAACTAATAAATGAGTCTTAAAGATGAGTTTTCCTTAAGCACTGAAACTGTTTGTTATAAGAGGTCCTGAACACGTTTTGTCTAGCTCATCCAACATATCAAAACTGAGAGACCTGAACTGACTATGCAGGTTTTAAGTTGCACAGAGGAGCTAGAAAAACTGTAATCCAGTTATAAAACAAAGAAGCCATTTTTTTGATACACAGCCTTTGAACAAAAGATGCTTTCTTTTGTGCCTTGATGACAGTGAGGTTGTGGCTCAGTATTCAAAGCACATCCCTTGCTGCCATCCCTGCCTGTTAGAGTCTCCACGCCAAGATGAGGAAATGCTAATGCTTGCCCCCACTGCCAATCACCTCATTGGAATAAAAAAAAAAAATAAAAAAAAACCCGATGGATGCTAAGTGAGAGGGGCAGATCCAGGGAAAATGTTTGCCTGCTGCCTGGTAAGCAGGAAGGCAGTCTTGCAAGGAAAAACTCCAAGCACACTGCAGAAAAAGAGAGGAAAGGAACATTAATAAAGGAGGGGAAAAGCAAAAAGAGAAAACGAGAGGTCAGCCGCCAGTTTTAGACTCCACTATCTCTGCAAGTGACATACACCCACATGCAAACATGACATCTGCCGTCTCTCCATACTGTGAACCAGTTAAATAAATCCTCCATGCCTGTAGCAAAACTGACTTCATTTGGAGGATGGTGACACCTTTAAAAACATCTCACATTGAAATTTAAATCTGGTGACTACAAGTGGATTTTTCACTGGAATTACTCATCTGTGTGCACACAGCAATTATCATCTTAGATGCATAATTTGGGAAGTGGTTACGCTGCTGTGGTTGCACCTACTCCTGAAAAACCAAACAGACTCATATTCCCTTGCAGAGAAATGACATTACAGTGTTACTAGCAGACCTAATAACTTCCAGTAGAAATCTTCCCATGCACCTGCAGATACACCATTTGTAAGATAGTGTAGATGAAATAGATACTTTAACTTCCACCAGAGTTTCACCTGACAGTAAACATAGTGAAATGTGCAGGTTTGATCTTTTTATATATAAAATACACTCGTGCTGTAATGGCCTTGAACAAAAGCTCCTTTTAAATGGCACCCCAGTCATTAACTCTGTCACAGATGGATTAGCTCTCCTCTACAATAACTTCTGATATGTAGTGGCCGTATCCTCCTCCTTTCCCTTCAAAACAAGTGCCTGACACTTGTTACTCTATCAGCCCTTCTTTTTCAGCTTTTTTAAGTCTTTCAATGGCCACTAGTTGCTTTGAAAATCACAAAGGATTTGCTCGTTTTGATTGCCAGATGATGTTTGGACACAAAAAGACAAGGAAAATAAAAGGTAGATGGATCAAAAATAAACTATAACCACTGCAGTCCTATTTTTGTGTATCGATATCTGATAAATATGGAGATCAATGGAAACAGCAGAAAGATAAAGCAGTCACAAAAAAAAAAAAAAGTGCTTCCAATAAATTCAAGATTTATTTTCCAGTAGCAGGAAATGTTAATGTGACAAAATCTTCTCTCTGCACAAAATCCATTTAACAAGAAATATATATATATA